TATAGTTGGTTCGGAAGCTATGATACTCTTGTGCCTGGAGGATATGGACTCTTTGAAAGCTCTACAAAGCGAATGAGGTTATCTAGAGTCTCGACTGGTAGAGAACTGGTAGTTTCTAGAGGTGACCTCCGGAGGTGTAACAAGTTGCCCACCTTAACCGAGGGAATGTTGATATTCACCTCTTCTGGTTTGAATGGAGAATTGCAGCCAACGAAGACTCTATCGTGAGTGAAAGTTGATCAGAGTGAGAAAAGAAAATGGAGGTAGAAGAAGATGAACAATGCAAGTGAGAGAAAGGGAAAATAGAGAATATCCTCATATCAAGTTTATCTGATAGGCTTTTATGTCGACCCTTGGACGTCTGGTATCGGACATAAGGTTATCATGTTTGTTAGTATATTGAGAGACTATAGAAATATGATTGTCAAATCATATTTAGCTCGACCAAAGGTCATGTCAAAGATTAAGGAGTATGGACTCCAGAAAATAATCCTGACGAAAAATGATTTCAGAGATGATATGATATCTTCGAAAAAGTCTATTGACAAAGATTTAGTAATTTTTTTACAATGCTCGCCAAAAATATAATAATCATAAATGATAACGTTTTTATTAATTTAATATATATATATATATAGCCATATTTTTATTTAAATTCTTTTAACTAAAATAAAAAAAAGGATGAAAAAGAATAATCTTGTTTTAATCAACAGGGTTGGTTCAAGTGGTAAACAACTTGATATCGCTTAAGCAATGTCTCGGGTTTGAGTTCTTGTATATGCAGAAAATTTCCGTTGGTAGACTCACCCACCAAAGTCAGGTGTGCGACACGGATCGATCCAAATTAGTCAGGACGAAGCCTTGGAATTAGAAAAAAAAACCTTGGTTTTAACCGTTGGCAATGTAACTTCACTAAAATGTGATAATAAAATGAGTTGAACTACACTTGCTCTTTTCTTGGTGAAATCACATGTTTGGTCCTTTGAGTATTAAACAGGTCAATTTAAACCCTCTATTAAACAAATCACCTGTTTGATTTAAACATTTTACTTAATTAATTTAATTCTAATCAAATCGTATAAAATTTTGTTTTTTAAGGCTTAAACTAAAACAAGTACTTAAACTATGTTATTTATTTTACTTTAGGTACTTAAATTATTTTGGTCAAATTAGGCACTAAAATATTATATGTAACCACTTTAAGTACCTTAACTTTTTTAGTCAAAAAATCCAAACTATATCATTTTTTACTTTAAGCCCCTAAATATTTTTTTGGTCAAAACAAGTATCTAATTTTGTATGACTTGTCAACATCTTTATTATGCACGAATGATGATTCGAACGAGCACCCGGTCCGTCCCCAAATCCGACCCGACCACCCTGCTAGAACAGATGGGATCCTCACACTTTGGCTTGCACCCAATCGCAACAGTCAACGCTGTCGACACAAGCCGTGGAGTCCCCGATTAGGCGAGTGTTCCGGGCCATATAGTGTATAGGCAGTTGCTTGTAACCGTGGAAGCAGGAATGAACCGGGGGTTGGGGCAGGAATGCCCCTAAAATTGAAAAATTACTATATATTTTAGATTTTTTTCTATGTATTTTCTATTAAAAAACTGTTTTTGCCTGGATTTTTTTAAAATGAAATTCTCTCATAACATAAAATCATGCGCCTGTCCGTTCCAGCGTGGAAGTTCAGCATTTGAGGTGTAACACATGGTGACATTATTTATTAAATCGAGATAAGAAATTTGATATTTTTTAAATAAATATTTAATTTAATATTTATTGAAAATCCTAAGAGATCATTAACCATGGTGACATTATTCACTTAATATTTTATTCTATTCTTAAGTTAGCTTATGTTTTTTTTTAATATTTACAATTTATTTGTGTCTTTGGTGTAAGTTAAAGCAGATCAAAGTAGTGATATTAAGAATTTGTATATTCGTATTGTCTTTATGTGTATATCATAATATATTTAAGATTCCTTTTATTCTATTGTCAAAATTTATCAAATAACTGCAGATTACAACAACGCTCTCATCAAGCTAGACATAACAAACAAACAAAAACACATGATGTTCCAAATTCACCATGACTGCCAGCAGTCGCGGAAATTGATGATAAATTTAAGGGTCAACTTAAAATTTTAAAAATTCAGATATTGAAATTAAATTTTTTAAAAATTTTGAAGAACTTAGTATACAGTTTCCAAAAAAATAGGGTCCAACTAAAAATTTTAAATTTTGGTAGGCTTAACGAGAATTTTTAGAATTTATGGGAGGAGATTTAATTAAGAACATTAAAAAATTATAATCTAATCTGAATTTCTAAAAAAATTCAAGGGTCTAAAATTTAATTTAAAATTTTTGAAGGTCTAAATTATATTTTTAAAATGGGGGGATTCCCCGCTAGTCCCTCTTGAGTTCTGTAACCGGCTCCAATTTCCTAAACTCGATTGAAATTGACATGTCGAATCACAAGGTGTAATGTGATGATCGATTATCTCATTCTTTATCTGACTCATTGACCGATTAATTCGAATCGAATAATGTAAAAAAACTATCACGAGAGTAACCCTTTTCGAACCGAATTTACTTTATTTACCACACTAATATTCAAACTTAGCCAGATGCTGTCCCCCAAGTCTATTATCAGAGTACACACAATATATGAACATAAGTACATATAAAAGGAAGAGAATTCTTCTTGTTTGATCAAGCATACCTAACAATGGCTACTGATCTACAAGGGATCACAATGTAGGCAATGAAACCCAGATTCATTCAAATAGTGAAGAAGTTAAAGAAACTGCTTCAAAAACTCCGTAGCCACTAACCTCCCTCGCGTACTTACCGACATTTTCAATTCGCTTATCTCTTTATCGATATCCTGAGATTTCGAAGAAAAGAAAAATTATCGACATTATCCGCCAGACAAATGATGAACTTTGATAGTGATAGGCCAAGAAATGGTTCATTTCACGACGCGGAGCTGGAATCTATGTGCTCCAATTCTTATTTTCCATGAATTATCGGTATTTCTTAAAATTCGATTACGTAAGATTAAATAGAGATCCACATTCTATGATTGAAAGAAAATATAATGGAGAAGGGTCAAGAAATCTCTTACCTCCATGAACTGCACGATAAAATCGATGAGCTTTGTTTCTGCATCTCTCACAGTGATAGTTTGTGACAAGGAAACTGATGTCATAGCCCTGCTTCATGAAGCAAGCAATTGAATAAAAATCACCAAGAAATTTCACAAGCATTTCAAACAGTGAAGACCAATTTGGGTTACATTTACGATAAACATGTATCGTAATCCAAGAACACGCTTAACGAACTTATTATTTATGACTTGAACAAAGGTGAAAGAAGGAATTACATTATGACAGTCACAAATCATGATGTTTTCTCCGCTCTCTATTTTCAATTCGTAAATGTAATTATAATGGAAATAGGGTGTTTCCAGAATAAGTACCAAAACAATAAAGAAAAAGGAAATCGAGTATGCATAAGGCGGGCCTCGATCACGAATGAAATCAAATTTTAAGAACCATGTGTAGTCAAAATCATTGCCGAAACGGATTATATAGTAAGATTATCAAGCAATATAGAGATATATGCTAAACGGGTTTAAGAAGTTAGTGTGCATTAAAAGGAAAGTATAAGTCTTTACCCCAAGTGGCAAGACATAGTGATTGTCATGATTGCTTTTGCACAATGTACACATAATCATTCTCAAGGCAAGTTGGTTGTTTAATCAATCAAGTTGTCAAGCTAAATAATTTCGAAGGCAATCAGTTTCACTAGAGACCAGAATGTTTGTACCTGAACTGGTTTTCTTCTCAAAACTTGAAAAGCTTCTGCCCTCATTGACAAAAATCTAAGGAACTTTTTAGCTAGTATATTTTCAAGTTCGTCGGCCTGTTTACCTACAAGAAGAAGAGAGCATATGCATAGGAACAAAAATGGGAGAAAATTTGCAAAATTTATCACGATACTATTAAGAATAAACTTGTGTAGAATGGTTATTTTATTTATCTTGAATCCAATAAATTTAATTAGAAAAGAAAACAGCATGCATGTGATGCTTTTTATTTAATCTAAAAGCAGGAAAAACATTCAGACCCTCTTTACAGCAATTACTTCTACCAGAAAAAGAAATATCCAGGGAAAGATTATTTTTTTCACCTTAAGGCTTATCCGTAGTGAATTGATAGATGTTTCTATTAAGCATTTTTTCAGCCTCATTTCGACATATCAAACTGCAATTGCAAATGGGCATATTAAAAGATTCACCAATTAAATCACATAAATTCGTTTCTACTGGATGCATGCATGTGATGTTATTCCTCATCATTACATTGCAGGACTAAAGGTGCAGGGCATTGATAGTTGAGAGATGGAAAATGTCAAGTGTAGAGGCACACGAGTTAGTAATGTGAACCCCTATGGCTTCATAATTTCAAGATAAAATTAAGCTTTAGTTTGTCCAATTTACATTTTTCAACCCTCCAGTTCAAGCTCAAAAAACATGTTAAAGGTACGTACAATATTAAGTGATTGATATAAAAAAAAATCCATACTAGGTGGATTCTTATTCACCTGAAAACTCAACAGTGAAAATGCAGAAACACAAAGTTAGGCTCCATTTCATAGTTGCTTTGGCTACTTGCTTTATATTGTTTGTTTTTGCTTCCTTAAATTGTTCATTTGTTACAAAGAAAAAGAAAATCGTAGAAATGAGGATAATTTATACTAGTTTCTTCTTTGCTTTATATTGTTTTTTATTCCTTAAGTTGTTCATTTGTGTATAAAGCGAAAGCAAATCGTAGAAATGAGGATAATTTGGACTAAAGATGAGCAAAGACTTAAATAAAAAACCATAAGGTATAAATTTCAATTTGGCCGTTCTTCAGTGGTGTGTATGTGTAAAAAAGCTAAAACGGAACGGAATAATCTGCCTATGTCTCTTAAGAAGATGGTTCTTACAGGATTTAGCAGAAGTTCTGGGCTTGTCCTGCAAAATATAAAAAGGAAAAACATAAAAAGTTTGCCCAGAAGTGTAGAATATTGTGGTGCAGAACATGAAGATTTTCACTGAATTTCTTCTGAGGTATCATTCATTGCACTAGAGAATTGGCCATCAAAATAAGATAGATATCATATGAATTGCTACCAAGAGTGCATGAACAAGCATACAAAAAGCTTAAAATGATTAAAATATCTAGTAAACTAAAGAAACAAATAAGAGTGGTAACTATTAACTTGCTAGATAAAGGCGCCTGTATCCCCTCACTGAAAATCTTGTTGAAGAAAAGAAGAAACTAGAATTTTCAGAATAGGTCAGAGTCTTGGGGAGAGGAGGGAGCACAGCAATCTAAATAAAAAGATGGGATAAGAAAATTCCGAGAACAAAACAACATGATAAAAGGCTAGCATACATGAATGGCCTCAAATACATGGACCAAATAACTTATTTAGCTTGAACAAATACAAATTACATGGAGCTCCCACGCCATGGCATTAGTTCTATTTAGGAAAGAGGGGAAAAATCTACAAATAGTAAATTTAAACAAGACCTTGACAATTTGGGGAGGAATTTGCCAATTAAATGTAAGAGCATTACTAAAAAGCAAAGCAGTTAATACTGGTCTATGATCAGCATATGATAATTGATAAGTAGCAAGATCATTCTAGAATGATAAATTAATTCCAAACTAAAAAAACAATGCATGAAGCAATGCCTATTAGCATTTCGCACTCTCTTTTCATATAACTTTATCCAGTAAAAACTGTCAAATTCTAAAACAAGAAAATAAAGATGAACGTGAAATCAATATACATACTTTAGTTCAACTTCTGGCTTATTATGCCTCTCATTCTTGACAAGGGAAATTCTGGTGCGTAAAAATTCCACGTAACTAGAGTACAGATAAAGTATCTGAGTGGGAACAAAAGTAATATCCAAAATTAACACAAAAACAAAGAGATTTTCAATTTTAAACCAAAAATAATCTACAACAAAAGATATAGGTTGGAATTGCTTTAAATTTTGGGAAAATGTAGAAATTGCACACGTGAACTCAAAATTGGAGGAAAAACATCTTCCTTAGTTCATTATCCACCTTGAGAAGGACTTCAAATTCTGACTCAAAGAGCTCCCAACGAACCATATTAGTCATTGGTAGCAATCAGATTTACACAGCATTTATAATCTAAAACTGGAAATATGAAAAACATCATCCATTTCTAATCATTCCAATCTCAATCTGGTTATGTTCAATCCTCAGAAGTCAGCTCTTAGTCTATGAGCATTATGTCAAACAAAAAGCTGATGGCTAAACTTCCTTTTCCAAGTCATTCTAACAAACACAGAGTAAAATATAAAACTCCAATTCAATCAGACAAAAGTCACAAAATCCATTCATAAAAGTTAAGAACGTAAATCTCAGACATTACAGTTTCTCTATCGACACTCTGTAGCAATTACTTCACAGTAAACTTATGAACTTCATTTGCATACCTGGAGACACATAGCAGCCTCGAGAGTGTTCCTTACGCAAGTTAAATACAGCTTCAACGGATTCGCCTAAAAAATTTTCAGTTCAAATCAATATGAATAATTACTAAAGAATGCATTAAGCTTTTGTGATGAAATACAGAATCTATTAAAGAATTACTAAATCTGTTTTTAAAAGAAGTTGAAATAAGCGAGAAATCAAGCAATTGGATCCAAAAAAAACTGATTTTTTCTTCAATACGAAAAGACGAACGTAAAGCACTTGATCTACAACTGATCTGTAACGTAAATATCAATATTTGTTCACTTTCTAGTTACTTTCTGGGCAACCAAACAGATTGAAGTAGAGAAAAGGGGAAATTCAGAGTTGTTACCATATCTTGAAGTGGCTGTTAGCTGTTGGATTTGGGGTTATCTCTCTGCTAATTGTTTGTTTTTGCTAATGAAAGGAAAAAAGCCTAATGAAATTAACAAAGGAAAAAAAAATGAAAAAACAAAAGCAGAAAATGTTGAATAAAAAGGAAAACTTTCTCCGACCTGCCGGATTCGAACCAGCGACCTAAGGATCAAGCTGAGGGCTTACGCCGACTACAGTCCTCCGCTCTGCCAACTGAGCTAAGGTCGGTTATATAATAAGGCCCAAGGTTTATTATTTAATTAAATACTATTAAGAATTATTATTATTATTATTATTATTTTTTGCTTTGGCCTGACTAATTCATACCAACCTGTTTCGGACATCTGATTTTGGTGAATGATTCTCCTGACAAAGATTTTTTGTATACACATAACCTCGAACTTAAGACATGTATAAATGATAGGGATGGCAATGGGTCAGGTTAGACTCAAATTTTTGGTTAACCCGACTCGAAAATATGTCTCTTCCACTTAAATCAGACCCGATCTGAAAATTATATATTCTTCATCCAACCCAAGCCAACTCGACCAGAAAAATATATATCCTCAACTCGACTCCGACCGGATCTGAGTTTTTAGTATGGATCCAACCCGACCCGGTATAAAATAAGAGACTTCATTAAAAATAATAATTTTTAAAAGAAATTATATTATTATCCTCGGGTCGGATTCAGTCGGAGTTTTTTTACCCTCCACTTGAACCCTACCTGACCTGATCTGACCCGACCCGAACACGATTTTAAAAAAAAATATAATCATATCAGATTGAGTCGGGTCATAACCTATCAAATTCGGCTTAAATTGTTATCCCTAATAAATAATATCAACTTTATTACCATATCGGATCGGGTCGAATAGGAGTTTTTAAAATGTTCATTTCTTTACTTTGCTTCCATTAAAATTTTGGTTAAACCATCATTGCAACGTAACTAAGGGTATGTTTGTTTCCCGTAATTAGAATTACAGAATTGGTTTTCCCCGAATTCTCATGTTTGTTTCACGTAATTCGTTTTCCGGAAAATGTTTTCCCGTGTTTGTTTCACGTAATTCGTTTTCCGGAAAACGTTTTTCCCGTGTTTTGTTTCACGTAATTCGTTTCCGGAATGTAATTCATTTTCTAGTAACAGAATTTCCTTTGTGTTTTCTGTAAAATGAACTTACGGATCATTTTCCGTAAGTCATTTTCCGAACTTTTCACTTCAAAGCAAAAATACTCAAATAATTTTATTTTATGAATTAATATTAAAATATTTTAATATCATTTTCATCAAAATATTAATTAAAATATTAAAATATATTTATTAATATTTATAATATATATTATATTTTTATATTATATAAAATAATCAATTATATTATAATAATATAAGATATTATATTTTTATTTTAATAATATATAATAAATTTTTTTATATATTTAATAATGAATAATATTATTTATATATTTCAATAATATTTTAGTAAAGATATTAAAATATAATAATTAATATTTTTAAAATATAATATAGTACTATTACTTTAATAAATAATTAATATAATTTATAAAAATTTATTTCACTAAAATATACCGAAAAAATGTTTAAATAACATCTTCCAAACATCATAAAACGTTTTCCAGATGTTTTCCAGAAATGTAATTCATTTTCCAGAAATGTAATTCATTTTACAGAAATGTAATTCATTTTTCAGAATTCAAATTCCAGTAATTCATTTTCTAGTAATTCAAATTCCAATAATTCAAATTCCAGTAATTCATTTTCTGGAAAACCAATTACAGCTAAACAAACAGACCCTAAGAGATTAAGTTCAATCATATCTTTTTCAAAAATAACATATCGACTATCTAATTACGATAATTTAGAACTCTTGCTAAAGAGAGATCATTTATTTTATCTTATTAAAAAATTTATAAACAATCATTATATTATAATCAATTATACTATTAAAAAAATATCACAATTCAACAAAAAGAACTACACCATAAATACTAGATAAACCCTAAATCTACAATCAAGTTGTCCTTAAAAAGTTGTCTCACGGCTTCAACAATTATCCCCATATACATGATTTAAATAATCCTTATCTTTCATCTGTCCTACTAGGGACGGACGTATGAATTTAAGTTAGGACGAACTTAAACTTATAAAATTTTAAAGATGCGAAAACATATTTTCTATATAAAATACATAGAAAAAATATATAAAATATATGATAATTTTATATTTTTAGGAGAGCAATTGCCACCACCCGTCCCACCTAGGTCCATTCCTGTGTCCTACCGTCATGACCGAGAAGCCTTGGTGGAAACAAATTCAAAGTATGATAATTAAGTTTTGGAGTTTTCATGAAGCATATATCATCCTAAAAACAGGAGGAAGTGATCCGGTACGTGATTTTTGGGTCATTTTAAGCTTAGACCATTTCAAGTTTAAACCCCTTAAGATTGGAGTCATTTTCGAATTCGATTCTTTCTGATTCGAATCAATTCGAGTTTGAGTTAATAACTTTTATGGTCAAATTGAATTATGCTAAAGATCATTTGGCTTTGCAGATATTTTAGTCGCAGTTTGGACTACACTGACAGATCAGAGGAACAAATAGGTTTGCATCAGGTGACACAAGCTTTTAATGGTCAAGTTCAACAATTGGTTTTGTATTGCTATCAACTTTCTCGGTCCCAAAGGATCTTCGGTACAAGCAGAATTTTTGGCAATAGAGTACGCTGTAAAGCTGTTCTTAGGTTCACAGTGGTTCAAGGTTGCTAAGCTCATAATAAAAAGTGACTGCGCTGTAGTTGTGAATTGGATCCGAAATCCCGCTTCCGCTCCTGCGAGTGGGTGCATATTCATCGCCCTGTCGCGCCATTAGTAGCTCAAGAGGAGTTTGAAGCTAATCAAGTCCCTAGAAACTGCAACACGGCGGCTGATCAACTAGCTAAGCTGGTAATTGGTTCATCTTCTGTCTAGGGAGGCTTTTGAAGATGATTGATTTTCGGGTTCTCCTCATTTTGGTTTCTTATCTCTTCTGGGGTCTGGTTTTGTTAGTGCAAAGGAATTGGGGTTGTTCATGGTGCGGTTTCTTTCGAGTTCCTTAAAAGTGCCGGTGTATCCTCTTGTGTCATTGCTCGGGTGCACTCTTTCTCCTCCACTCAGATGTAGGAAGATTTTTTAACGAGACCCCAATCAATATGCATCTCTTTCTATTTAGTAATAAACTCCCTACTTTTCAAAAAAAATCCAACAGATCAGCAAATGTAAAAGAAAACAACACACTAAACAAAAGCTACATAATTTTCACCTTCAAACACAGCTCTGATGAAAACGGAAACAAAGAAAAGATATTGTCTGCCTGCATGTTAGCTGTTTCTCCCACAACAATTTACACCCACCAATTTACATTACAAGCACTGATTTCGTGTTCTTTTTCTCTCTCGAATCGAAGAACAAAAGGGTTCGAGGGGGACGAACCGATGATAAAAAGACACGAATGCTACAAGCGTTGCTTTTAGCCTATGGCTTGCGTGCGCAACTTGTTCGCGACGTACAGCAAATGACTGATATTTGCGGACGGGTAGTTTTGGAGTAGCTTGAGATTAGAAGTGAAATCACCGGCAAGCAGGAACCTACGAGTGAGGATCAACATCGCACAGCACACGCGTAGCAGCGTCTCCTGCAGAAAACGCATGCATGTTTGCTTTAGAACTAGTAAACCTGATCATATACGTTTGATCAGTTCAACTGTAAAGCGTTCAAACCACGATTGGGGTATCTCATCTAGGGATAGACAATTTCTTCAACCCTGACGTGTTTTGACCCAATGCAGTTGGGGTTGGGTTTTTTCAATCGAGGTTCGATGCGGGTCAGGTGGGTTTTTTTCAGAGTTGAGTCGGGATCAGGTATCGGCAAAGCCCACCTTGCCTCGATATATTTACTAAAATATCTTTTCTCATTTTATAATTATAATTAATTTTAGGGTAAATTACGCATTTGGTACTACACTATCAATTTTGACCCATTTACATAAAATTTAGTTTTGTTTCAATTTAGTACCCGCGCATTTAGTACCTAAACTATCAGTATTAGTCCGTTTAGTACCTAAACTTTCAAAATTTTCAAAACTTAATGTTAAATTTTGAATGGGTCACTAAAATGAAACAAAAACTAAAGTTTTAAACGGCGGGAATACTAAAATGAAACAAAAACTAAAACTTAAGGTATAATTTTTAAAAAAAATTGAAAGTTTAGGTAATAGAGTGGAATTCGCCTCCTGGGTTGCGAAGGAGGGCCACTACATTATGGAAGTGGTGGTGTCCCAACTGTTTTGTGTTTTGTTTTTGGCTGGTTGGTGGTTTTTGGTATTTGTTTGTTCTTGTTGTTTCATAGGCAGGGTTTTGCTTTAGATTGTTGTTCATTGTTTTGGGCACTCTTTTTCTTCCACCTAGGGCTAGATAGGTTTTTTAACGAGACCCCTCACAATGTGTGCACCTCTTCTAGCAATAAAATTCCTAGTTTAAAAAAAACTGATAATTAGGCATTAAACGCATAATTACCCTTACTTTTATATATAATTAAGGTTTTTATTAAAATTTGGGGTTGAGACGGGGCGGGTTTGATATTTGTAAAATTTTTGGGTGGGCCGGATTATACATCCACTATGTCAGTCCGGATTAAATTATGTTGAAATCGGGATTGGGAGGAAACTCCTAACTTTTGGGTCTGGGTCGGGGGGTCAAAAATCAGACCCGCCCCCACACCGTTGCCATCAACGATCTCCTCCCCTAATTTCCCAGAGCTAAATAATGACAATAAGTGGAAGATTTGATCCAGCAAAGCTAACAATCTTATAGCAAAGTTCTAGAGAACTGAGTGGGAGATAAAAATTGCAATCATACCAGAGGGCCTTCAGGGTCACTAAGAAGCGTGTCCCATATGTGGAGACTGTCCGAAAAGTTGAATTCCTGTGTCAAGAGCAAAGTAATCCACCTAAATGCGTAAAACTGAGGGTTGACCTGTGATATTTAAACACAACAGTTAGCATTCAAGCCGAACT